AGCAGCTTATGTATACGAGTATGTATCAGTCCCCAGATTATGCACCCGGGAGATTGCTGCACCAACAATCTGGTCTCAATCTATGTACAGACAGAGAAGACGTTAGAAATCATAGCCCAACGAGTGTACCCACGTGTTTTTCCTCCCAAAAGAATATTGACATTTGACGATTCAAGATGATTTATGGAGGAACACCGGTTTTGTTTCATCTCTTGCGCTCAAGATTGCTGGAAATCGCATGACACACGCTTGGCGAAAACACATCTCAATGCCTTCATCCGAAGCTTGAGTCTCAAGGCGCATTGAGATTGGACATAAAAAGCCGGCGCTGTTCGCCCCTACGACACCTTTAGCCCATAACCCACCAGCATTCTCACAACTTGGCAACAGACAGCAGCAATCGCACACCTTTTTCAGAACTAACATCAGTTAACATGGGCCTGAATCTCATCATACTCAGCGTATTTGTGTCCCGAATAATATTGATAGCGGGTAAGTTCAACATCTCAGCATCCTCTTTTGAAAAAATTGATTGTCCCGATTCAAATGACTGAAGCAGCTTATAACGATCTTGAAAACTGCAGCTGCAGCTGCTAGCAATTATGACCCCTATAAACCCAATCTAATTAGAAGCGAATATTTCCAAATGGGCCAGACAAATGTTAGTTTCTGTCATCAGATAAATTCCGGCAAGGGAATTCCTATCATCATGCCAAACTCTACCCAAGGAACCTACGGGGCTGTTCAGCCAGCCACACCGTTGAGCTTGACCCCGACCAAGTGTTCCAACTTCAAATGCACAAAGATACCCATATTTCATCCCCCTGTGATGGTAAGTACTCCGTGAGCCCAGCTGGATCATCTTGTTTCAAAAGGCTGATATCCCCGCTTGTTTTGTAGTCCAGCTGCAAGACAATTGTCCAAACACTGCTGAATAATTCGACCGGAACGTTCATTGCACCACCAAGTAAGCCGAGCTCATTATGAACCATCTTTCATTTAAATCTTCGATACCGATATCAAAGCACCGATTCGTTAATGCATGGGTCATTGTCTCCCACGGAAATTGTGCCCCCCTACCATCTGTGAGTGGCTGTTTTGTCGATGCAGGTGAA